ATGTTAGGTGGTAATACCCTACGATTTTCATGCACAAATATCTCAAAACAGAATGTTACCCCCCCACACTTAAACTAAACATTGTCCTCAATGTTTTAAACACAATTAAAAAAAACATTACACAAAACATAAAGTAAGCAACAAAGGAAAGGGTTTAGGGACGCAAATCTGAGTGTGGAGCGATTCCCAAGTTCTTCCTTTGTTGATTGCATGGGTTGCCTCCCACGAAGCGCTTGCTTTAACGTCTTCCAGCCGGACGAAACCTTCTTTTACTCCTCACTCTGGCTCACGGAATAGAATGGATCCTTGAATGGAAGGTGATACTTGAAGTGAACTGGCATTGGTTTGAATTCTAGTGTAGGTGCCTGATTCATCAAAATTAGCCAGTTAGTATAAAATGTAATGGAATTTGGAGAAGATGACTTACTTGTTTTGTCCGACAAGAACTCAATGACAAACACCACTCCTTTGAAAGTTTCAGGGATATTGGACTTGGCCAGATTGCATGTGATGGTTATGACTTGTCCAATGTCATCAAATTCAACTTCTTTGGGTTTTGTAGTTTCAAATATGTCCTCTTTGATGCCTTCTACATCTTCTCCAGCCACTACCTTCTCTTGAATCATTCTTCTTGGTGTACAAAGTCCTTTGAAGAATTCAACACCATCTAAAACTTGCTGTGTTGCACCAAGAATTGGAATAGCATTCTGCACCTTTGGGAAGGCTTCCACGATGTCCTTTTTACTCTCTTCTTGGTTGGGAATCAAAAACCTGCTAGGAAAAGGGACATTGGGTGGAATAACATCAGAATAACATGGAATTGGGACGTCCTTACTTGTGGTGGGTGGTTTAGAGGGCTTAAGGGGCTGCGGCAAGGGTTGTTCTACCCTTGCCGTGTGAATGTCTTCTTCCTCATCCTCAATTAGCAGCTCCTCATCCACTTCTTGGTCACGAAATTGTCCTACAAATTCCGCTATCTGCCCAATTTGCTTTTCCAAGTGGTTCAACCTGTTGTCTCGATTTTGCATTGCTTTCTTTTGATTTTCTTGCCCCTGAGACAAATTGGTGAGTAACTTAATAAGCGTATCATTATACAAAGACGCACCTGAATTTGTTTGGGCAGGTTGTATATGAGGTTGTGGTGGCTGCATAGGGCTTGAATAGAACTCCTCATATGGCTGCCAATATGCTTCTTGTTGAGCCTCCTTGGCTTGATTTTGTGACCCCTGCACCAAAGAATTTAATTCATTAAGAATTTGATTATAATCTATTGACGAACTTGAATTTAATTGAGCATATTGCGTATGAAGTTGTGGTGGCTGCATAGGTCTTGAATAGAACTCCTCATATGGCTGCCAATATGCTTCACGTTGAACTTGTTGAGCTTCCCACCACATAGAGTTTGAATGATCCCTCCAATCTCTTTGTGGACATTGATTGGCTTGAAATCCTTGCCTATATGAAGCACCAAATGTAGGGACACTCTGCATTGTGGTCCTTTCGGCATACGGCGACAATTGAGAAGTAAGATTTGCCAATTGAGCTTGAATGCTAGATAAATCCATATCTTACTTCTCTAGTACCTAAAATCAAAGAAAGAGAACTAAATCAAATATCAAAAGTAACAACAAACAAAGAAAACAACACTAAGTTAGAAACTAAAACGAAAACAACTAAACCAAAAAGAAAAGAACCAAGGGATTAGCAAAGTTGCTAATCCCCGGCAACGGCGCCAAAAATTTGGTGCGAACTAATTAAGCACACAAATTAAAACCCTCTTGTGACAATTGTAGTATATAAATAAGTAGGGATCGTTCTAGACCGGGGATTAGGAGGGATTACTAAATCACTTGGAAACTGACTCAAAAACGTAAAACAAACGTTAAAAACACTAAACTAGACTCAAAGAATGCAAAGCTAAACAATAAAACACTAAAACAAATCAAAAGACTCAAAGAATACAAAACGCTTATAAACACAAACTAAGACACTTTCTAACTAAATTGGACACTAAAGTAAAGGGGGATTGAGGTTTTGACGAAATTAAACTAAATGCAACGATTGTAATTTAAAGGCAGAATGTAAATATGAATGTGATGAAAATATGGATGAATGCTATCTAGAAGGTTCTTCTCCACACATGTCACACTTGCATACACTTTGATTTTCAGTTGATCTTTCGATGAATTATGGAACTCGACACTCCAAGTTAATTAGGTCCGCTTAAATTAACCTTCAAATTTCCCTAGAATCATTGAATTGGATGAATATGCATCGCAAACAAATTATTCCTAACAAGTTCTCTATATGAACAGCATGATAAAGATACAAGTTAGAATCATTACGTTCTTTGGAAATTATAAGCATCGACAAGGCATTTGTAACTATGAAAAGCATGATACTCTTGCCAGGAATTCAAATAACGCGATTGTTTATAAGCAACCTCCACTACTTGTGAATATAAGTTCATAACTATTAGGTGAAACTCACTTATATTCTAGCGTCAAATTTATGCATGAACATTAAGCGTGCACTCTCAATAAACATACACAAACAAGTTATCAATCAAACAGTTAAATGAATTGAATCCAACATTCATGAAATTCCAACCAAATATAATCAATTCATATTGCAAGCTTAAACATGGTTTCGAATCACCCCCTAGCTAACTAGGGGGATTTAGCCTCTCATGTTCGCAACAAGAAAAATAAAATTGAATTTAAACATAAAGAACAAAGGATGGATTACACCTAGAACGCCCAACGAATCCACTTGAATTTCTGCGCGTCTAAGTCCTCTTTCCTCTTCTCCTTACTGCGGCAGTGAGGTTAAATGGATGATTTGGATGTTGTTTTGGGTTGGGGACGGATTTAGGGAGGTTTGGTGTTGCGGCAAGGTTATGGGGTGGTGTTGGAAGGTTTGGAAGGTGGCTGAGAAGGTGGAGGAAGCTGCGGCAGAGAAGAAAAAATGGGTGAAGGTGGCTGCGGCTGTTGGTTGTTTGGTGATGTTATGCACGGCTTTCTTTTGTGAGAAAGAATTAGGGTCAATGATGGGAATGAATGGAGTAAAAGTAAAATGGGATTTGCCCCTGGAATGAAATAAAGGTTAATGGTAAATGGGGGGGGGGGGGGCACGGCTTAGAAATTAGGGTGAATGATGAATGGAATTTAAAAGTTGCGGCTGATTAGTTTAGGGTGAATAATCTCGGCCTGTGAATGAATAATGGGAAGTCAAGGTGGCTGATTAAAACAAATGGAATAATTGGGAAATGGGGTGTATGTGTGACGGCTTAAATGAAAATGAAGGGTTAATGATTATGGAATGCACGGCTGGAATGATTTTTTAAAGGAGAGGTGCGGTTGCAAAGGTGTAGAACTAGGGTTTAAAAGCATGTGTTTTAAGTGCAACCCTAAGACAAAATTGCCTTCCCTTGCACGGCAAGGGAAGGGGAGAAAATAAAAGGGCACGGCAAGGATGGATAAGGAGCCTAGGGTCTTCGTTTTGTGTCCTAAAGTACCTACAAGGTCTTCAAAGTGGCTAGAAAATACGGACGTTTAGATTAGGAAAGGTTACCAAAACGGGAAACTTAGGGTTAACTTTCCTAAAATAGGAAACCTTGTTTGAGTAGGATTCCTCGTTTTAGTAAGAATTCATCGTTGGAGTAGGATTTCGTCATTTCTTCAAGTCTTCAACTCATTCATTCCTCTTTCGCTCCAAAAAGCTCCAATTTGCATCTTCTTGCACACTTTGGCCTTGTAATCTGAAAATACACAAAAGTGGCCTTAAACACTAAAACAACTAAATAAACACAACATAAATGCACGAGAACAAGCTAATTAAGTCGCATGAATATGCTCCTATCAGGAGGTAAACAAGAACAAGGCTCGAGCTATAATAGAGTCACCTTCTTCTACTAACAAAGTGCAGTTGCAAAGGTTACTAGAGAAGATCAACTTTGTAAGGAGGTTCATTGCTAACTTGGCGGGAAAGATTCAATTGTTCACTTCTTTACTAAGACAAAAAAACCAAGAAGAATTCGAGTAATGCCTACAACACCAAGAGGCTTTTAACAAAGTAAAGTCTTATCTAGCCTCTCTACCAGTGCTCATGCTTCATAAGAGAGGGAAACCTTTGAAGCTCTACATCTCTACCTCTGATAAGTCAATAGGAAGCCTGCTAGCTTAAAACAATGAAGGAGGAAGAAACAAGCAACATACTAACTTAGTAGGATCTTTACTGAGGTAGAAACCAAATATACCCCAATTTAGAAGCTATGTTTGGCTTTATTCTTCATTGCCTACAAGTTAAGGCATTACATGTTGCCCTGCCACATCCACATCATTGACAAAACTGATGTGATCAAGTATATGCTATCAAAGACAATGTTAGCTGGAAGAATTGGGAAATCGATTTGAGTACTATCAGAGTTCAGTTTCCAGTATGTAACTTAGAGAGCTATAAAGGGTCAAGATTGATGTGATCAAGTGTTCTCCTTATAACATTTCACCTTGTTGGATTGTTTTTCAGCCTTCTAGTGTTGATGCCTCAATGCCCTCAAATTCTCGAAGAAGTTGAAGAAGGATTCGAATTGATCTTTTGACATTTGCTGAGCCTTATATAGCTTATTCAAAGCCTTCTCAGCATCTTAGAGGGCTTTGAGGCTAAAAGAAGCTATGAAGTCCATCTGCATCCACTCCCTGAAGACTTTACGTGCATCTTGGAGAAGTTGGGATTCGGAATGGTGCCTTGGGGACCTTAGCTTGGTCTTGATTTGCCCAAACTCTCTAACAAGTTCGGGCAAGGAGGTCGTGGCTAGTATGGATGCGAAAGGTGGGGGTATCACTCTAACACCCCCGAAGGCAGCATCGGCGGATGTAGCTTCAGTTAAAATTGGAAGAGGAAGGCCAAAAGTAGCAGAAGCAGAAGTTGCATCAGTGTTGATCTTCTTCGGTCGAGGGATAGGAATCCTAGTGACGGCAGAGGAAGAGTTGCCTTGTGCACTACGGGCTGGAGAAGCTTGCCTGAACCATCACTAGAGCCTATTAAACCAAGAAAAGAATGAGTTAGGATGATGGTCTGCAATTGAAATTAAAGAAAACCACAAAAGAAAATATGGTATACCTGAGTCGAGCTTGGGGCTTCAGGAAGAAGTAGAGGTGGTGATGTGGCTTTTGATGGTTGAGGAGGGTCAACCTTGCTTGCTGAAGGGGGATGAGAGTTACCCGAGCCCTTACTAGAAGCCTGTTTTACAAGGAAAGGAAGAAGTTAGAATCTCAGTTTATATATAAACTAAAGAAAAGACAGAAGTAGGAATACTTCTATACCTGTGATGGAACTTTAATGGAAGGAAAAGGTACCTCTGTTCTTGCAGTAGCCTTAGAAGAAGCCGATGGACTTGCCCAAGAAGTAGCTTGGGAAGCCTGCGAGCTAGTCACTTCTGAGACCACAGGGATCTCAGGGACTATTGGTTCTCTAAAAGTGGTTGGTGGTAGTTGGTTGGCCTTATGCATTGGAGATGATTGAAAAAAGAAAAATATAATGATAAATATTAGTTAAGGAAGAATCTGAAGGAGATTTTAATAGAACTTAGGGAGAAAAGAGCTTACTGAGGTACTGTCATCCTTAACATAGTGAAGCATCTCCCTAGTCCTTGGATTGAACTGGCGAGTGGGAGTCAACACTATCGACGGAGTAGGAGTTAGAAAGACAGGAGTTAGAGAGATGGGGGATGAGTTCTGTCCGATTAAAGGCGCAGGTGCCCCAACCTTTGCCTAGAAAAAACAAAAGTGTTGGTTAATTCTGAAATTTGAGAAACCACAACCTAATTAAAGATCGAGAAGAATTATACCTGTGAAAGCTTGGCCTGACGAGGAGAAAGATGTGCTGCTCGGGCTAGAGGAAAAGAAGGCTCAGGTTGGGTGGTCCATTAGCTTTTAATGTCCTATTTCAAGAGAACAAGTAAAGAGTCAGTGTAAGTATTAAAGAAAATAAACTTCAAGAGTAATTTCTTACTTAAAATGAACAAAAGTTATACATTCAACTCCTCAAGGTTTGCCTTAAAGACTACTTTATCCTCAGGCTAGACTTCTCTGCCCGACTACCCCTCTTTAGGGGTGGGGGCATATTTCTTGGTTGCTAGAAGACCTAGTTACAAGAGAAGAAATGGGTGTTAGTTCACAACCTAAGAAAACAGAGACGAAGGAAAAAAAACTAAAAGTACTTACGAGAGGATTTTTGTTTCTTCCTGTCCACTTTAACTGGCAGGCCATGGGAGGATTTGGAGGCCTTGGATGTCTGAGCTCTTCCTGGTAGGAGTCACCCTCGGGCCAGGCAAAGCAAGTTGAGGTGTAGGCCTCTCTTCGGGCTCAGACTCCGAGGATTCCATTACAGTTGCCCTTGCCTGTCTAGGTGTCTGCTTATCGACTTCGGGCCCAGCCTCAGCCTCTGAATCTTCAAAAAGCTCGGAGAAGTCTTCAGCATTTTTGGTAGTATGGCTGGACCCTGCTTCTTGTCTTGCAACCTCGGCCACAGCCTCTTAGAGGACGAATGTGTTTGCAGCTTCCTCATCTAGCTCGACATCGACTTCTTCAATGTTGCCTTGGGCTGCAAAAAATAAGAATTAATGATTAATAGACTATTGATGTATCACAAAGAAAGGTAAAGTAGAAATGATAGAAAATATACCTATGAGTGAGAGTTGATTCTTCTGGTGGATCATCTCCTTTCAGTTCTCGAGCTCATCCTTCTTGGGGTAGGATTTGAAGAAGAGCTGCCCGAAAAAGCGATCATGGGCCTTCTTGATATCCCCTCCAAACTTCTTCGACCACTTGGCCTTCCATCAAGTGGCAAAGGATGAAGTGCACTCGAAGTTCAACGCCACGGGCTTGAGGGCGATTTTGCTCATCACTTCAAGACTATGCCGGGTTGCCTGAAACGTCATTTCCGAGCGAGAATGAAGGCGGTAAGAGGTTCCGCAGTGCATTGAATCGAAGAATGGTACTGAGATGGCATGCCTGAAGCTGAGCTGCCTACCACAAAAATTTAGGTGGTATACCTCCAGCTCGTGCTCGTATCCTATGCGGTCGCTTTGCACTCTCCATGCCAAATCTTTCTGCTGGATGCAACTCATGAACTTCTCCTTGTAGAGGCTACTGGCATCTTCCCCGAAAACGTCTTGGAAGATTTGGTCTGAGAACCATGGATATCTATGCAGCACAGAGGTGCCTTACTCTAAGTCCGTCCGAGTCCGTCAAACTCTGAAGAAATAGAGGCATGCGAATGTTGATTGATTGGTAGGAAATGCATTGGCCAAGGTGCAGCCATTTGTGGAGCCAAAAATAACCAAGAAAAATATGGATGTAACACGTGGATTCTTAGGTTAAAAAGACAAAATTACCCTCGAGGCACACCAGAACTCCCATGTGCAAGAAGTAGACAATAACGACTCAATCAAGGCCAAAGGTGATCAAAATATGTATTTATTCAAAACCTATTTCATCAATCCTCATCAAATCTTCCCCAAAAGGTAATTCCTATTTATTCTTTTCAAAATAGGATTAATTAGCTAATTAATTGATTAATTACCCAATTAATTGATTACAATTACACCCAAAAATCACCACAAGTGGTCGGACCCCCTTTTTTCAAAATAGGGGCCAACCACAACCCTATAAATAGCCACCATTTCTCTTAAAAACCTAAGTCCAACTCTCTTACAAAATTCTCCAAATTTCTCTAAACATTTTTCCCTCATATTCTAACTTTGGCATGAAAGGTTTTTCGGCCAAAGCTCCCCCCCACAAATTCATCGTGAGTATGTGAGGCTCTTGGCCAAATGTGTTAATTGTTTTGCAAGTGCATTTTCATCTAAGAAGATGAAGGCGGAAATTTGCATCCACAAATTGGTGCTTTCATTGAGAGTCTTGATATAACAATTCTTTGATAAAACGTAAAAGAAAAGTACAATGACAAGAAACTCGAAAACCACGACGAACGGAACTTTCTACGTTCAAGGATTTGGACCACGACGATCCGCGAGGCTTAACATGAGAACAAGTAGAGTGGCGCCACCACAGGGCACCACTGCAGTAGACACCACTGTGGCAACTTTTAGCAAGTCTCCAACCCACAGTGAGTAGCAAGCCCAGGTGCCAAAAGTTGCCCAAGCTGTTGCCCTAGCTGCACGAGCCCAAAATCAACGCACGGCCCAGTGTGAGGAGGCCTAGACCGCAATCGCAGCTACCTAATCAATAGCTCAGGTTTCGCGGGCCTAAGGCTAGCGTGAGCCCAAGGCGCCCCAAGGCCTAGCTGTGCAGTTCCAAGCTTCACGGGCCCAAGCATTGGACTTCCCGAGCCATACCCAAGCCTAAAGCGTTATGCAAGCCCATAATCTAAACTCCAAAAGGTGCGGGCCCAACCTCTGGTGTGAGCAGACCTTGTTAATGCACAAGCCTAATGCGCAATTAGTCCAGCCATAGTCAGCGGGTCAAGTTAACCCATATCCGTGATCATGCGCCCATGATCCAGATTCATGACTCCTAGCGCCCATACAAGCCTATTTTTAGGCTATTCTGATCCATTTTTGGTTGATCCGACCCATTTTAAAAATATTTTTGAACTATTTTATGTAGATTTGGCATATTTTAGCTCAAATCTCACTCTTGGAGTCCATTACACTTCCGCTACTCAAGAAGACACATACCGTCCAAGCTCTTCTCATCCCAATGACAAACAACACTTGCCCAAACAAGTCATAGAGTTAACAAGCACCCTCCCACATCAGACGACCTTGGTGAATCAGCTCTTGCAACGTACCAAGATGCATTGTGCCCTAGACGAGGTGTCCCGAAGTTGGACCAGGGTAGACTACGAATCTCTCTAACAGCATTCTGGCAAGCAACCGTTCGACTAGCCAAGAATTGAGCGTTCTAGCAGTGTACACTCTCGACTGGGCCCCTAAGATAGCGTATACTCCCGTCTTAGCGAACGGAGGAGCATGAACTCTCGACTAAGCCTACAGACGAACATACATTCATGGTTGGGATCACACTCCGATAGTCAACATGAGCAACATTCCGGGTGAAGTGTTTATTCATGACTAGGCCCGCAAGGAGCATCATTCACCTTACATCGAAGTAAGCAGCACGACAGACAGAGTGATGCAGTCACTTATTCAGGCTCAAGTTCAACTGGCAACTTGCGAGGAACATAGCACATGTACGTAGCCGCGACATCTAAAGCAGAAACAAGTTATCACCTCCTTACTATCCAAACCGAAAGCAGCGGAGGACTTATTCACATGTTTGAGGGTATCTGAAGCAGAAACAAGCTATACCCTCATACGAGAAGAGCTGGGGGCTCGACCACCTGTATTCCACAGTTCAAAAGCTAACTTTCGCGACAGTTGTTGCAACCTGGAAAATCAATTAATACCTTCAGATGCAAGTGATCATTTTCATGATGCACTATTCTGCCCAATCCAAATGCACGACAATAGAGGCACAGACACTGGCAGATGCAAAATTTTATGACGAACATAACAACTCAGCCCAAAAGGCTTGCCAAGGGCAGACCAACACTAGAAATACACACTTGGAAACGAGTTTTGTCCTCGTCGCCCAAAAGATTCTATATAGGTGCAACATGTTTAGGCAATTGAGCACCACCTCTTATTGTACGTCACACGGCCCCAATCGACCTTTGCAACATAATTCAACTCTAGAGTGGCTCGATACCGGCAGTTGAGCATCTCCTACAACGTGTAACATGGCCCCAGCTCTACGGCTCACTATTACGCCTTCACGCCTAACCTAGGCGACGCAACATAGCGACCCAATGACGCTTTAAAGGTACCTGAGCATACCCTAGCCATGCCTACTTCACCCGATGAAGATTTTTGGCTTTTGTACATCGACGACACATCCAATTACAAAAGCTCAGGAGCAAGCATGACTCTTGTCACCCCAGACGATTTGATGCTTAAGCAAGCAATCACTTTAGGCTTCAAAGCAGAGTACAATGCCCTACTAGCAGGCCTCTGAATGGTAAAAAACTTGACGGTGAAAAAGCTTGCAATTCATTTCGATTCCCAACTAATCACCAGCTAGACCACTAGAGAGTACATGGCAAAACATCCAAGGATGGCGCAATACTTAGAGAAAGTACGCAAGCAACTTGAGGCATTTTGGACTTACACTGCCACTCAACTTTCGCAGGCAGTTGATGCCCACGGGTACACATTAGCTGACCTAGACTTCGCCCTCGATTACCAACTCAAACGCTCTATCTCAGTGGAGTATCTAGACAAGCCAAGCATAGAGGCAGAGCCGGGAGCCGAAGTGTCACATGTTAGTACAACTCCAAACTGGCAAAGTTCTATTATAGACTACCTGGTCAATGGCACACTTTCCACGGAAAAGTTGGAGTCTAGAAAGCTCCAAATAAAGGCAGCACGCTACTACATGTGGAACTACATTCTTGCCCGAAGATCTACACTGGACCACATCTCTGCTCCTTAGCGCATCCCGATGACCTAAAGGTTCTAAGCTCGAACCACAAATGCGTTTGTGGAAATTACTCTGGAGGTCGATCTTTAGGGCAGCAGGCTCTTAACGCAGGCTACTACTAGCCTACCATGCATCAAGACGCTAAGGAATTAGTACAGAAGTGTGATCGCTACCAACACTACAAGTCAGTACCAGCACTTCCTACTAGCAAGCTACACCTATAAATGAGTCATTAGTCGTTCATGCAGTGGGCAATCGACTTGGTAAGGCCATTACCGCCCACTACTGGGGGTAGAGGTATGATGATCGTGGCAACCGATTACTTTACCAAACAGGTAGAAGTAAAACCCATGACAACCATGACTCAAACGGACATAGAGCACTTCATATAGAGGAACATCATTTGCTAATTTGGCATCCCTCAATTCATCGTCACCGACAACGGCCCACAATTCGTGGGCAAAGACCTGGTGAAATTCTTCCAAAAGTATGACATCAAGTACCACATGTCCACGTCGAGATATCCTCAAGGCAATAGACAAGCTAAAGCATCTAACAAGACGATCTTCGATTGCCTCAAGAAATCCCTTTCCGACAAGAAGGGAAAATGGCCAGATGAACTCCCCGGATGCCTATGGGTATATTACATGACCAAATGACGAGCCACTAAAGAGACTTTTTTATCTTTGGCATTTGGTTCAGAAGCTTTCATTCCTCCTAATGTCATCGTGCCAAGTATTAGTACTCTACTACCAAGCATTGAATAGAACAATAAAGAGATGGCAATAAACTTAGATCTGGCAGAGGAGAAATGCGAGCAGACCATCACCCTCATCACAGCCTACCAACAACAGCTCCTCTTTAACTACAATAAAAGGACCAAGATCTGGTAGTTCTAGTCCTGAGATCTAGTCCTAAGAAAAATATTCATCATTACTCGCAGAAAAGGCTCCAAAAAGATGAATCCCATCTGGGAAAGTCCATACAAGATCAACAGAGTAGGCGGCAAGGGTAATTACACCCTCGCCACCATGTACGACAAAAAAATCGAAAAATAGTGGAATGCCTACAATCTGAGGAAGTACCATGTGTGACCTTTCACTACATTAAAGATAGAAGACTCAAGCAGCTCTACAGACACCACCTCATAAGCCAAGGACTATCTAGTTGTTATACAATTCCTACCTTGCAACTAAGTTCTCATTCGTTTCACTCGTTTTTCAATGAGGAATTAAGAAGTAATATACAACTTGGCTCAGCTGCATGCTTACAACAACTTATCACTCTTGCATTTCAAAAGAAGATCACTCTTCTGATGGACTAATTGCAGGAATCACGCCTCTTGAAGGACCAACCATACCCTCCAATATGAGAGGGTAAACCAATTCCCCGACACCCAACTGGGTCTGCTCTCCAGTGTGAGAGGATAAACTAATTACTCTCCAGGGCAATAGGGTAAACCAATTTCCTAACACCCACATGGGTTTGCTCTCCAAGGCGAGAGGATAAACTTTAAACTCCAAATATTTAGACGTGCATAAGCTGGGCTACCCTAGTATAACTAGGTACACAATGGCTTGCGACGGCATTCCTAG